ACCCCGCACAACATGATCTACTCGACCACCATTATGGTTACCGCCAAAAAAAAAAGACGGGCTACGTAGGGAGGGACATAAATCAGGGGGTGCAAATTGATGCCACACGCCGACTATAACTACCTGTTCAGGGCTAGTGAGGGCCGAGTCGAAGTACACGGTGGCCCTCTCCAGGGGCAGGCTGACCTCCGAGCTCGTCACGCCGGGTACCCNGGGGGGGGGGGGGGGGGGGGGGGGGGGGGGCACGACGTGTGGTGGAAGTGGGAATCTTATGAGGGACATAAGGCCAGAAAACCTAGCCATGAGCAGCGGACTCGAAGGAGCGCCTTAAGCGGGGACTCTGTGGACGCGTCGGTTAGCCACCCCGGGGCACTTGTTGACATTCCGGGTCGCTCCCTCCTCGCTGTTGCTCAGTCTCAGGATGGACATACGCTAGCAACATATGCTTTGGAGGACTCTCTCGGAAATCCCGGCAAGGGCGTTCCCCCCCCCCGGGGAAGGCGGAGACAACCCGCCTTTAGAAATCGCCCCCCCTTCCGTTGCCCCCCCCCTTGGTGTTTGCCATCGGGGTTGGGTTGTCGTCGCGTGGCAACGATGTTGTAAAACAAGCCGCCCCCCCGGTGTCGGCCATCGGGGTTAGGTTTTCGTCGCTTGGCAGCGATGTTGTAAAACAAGCCGATCACTTCGTGAGCTCAGCAAGCTTGGTCTGGTGAGAACCCGGCGTGCTCCGTCCCGGCTTTGTAGGGATGCGAGGTCAATGGTCTAACGACTACGGCATGCACGACTATGAGTACCCCCCCCCCCCTTCCGTTGCACCAGCACAGCTCTCCGCTTGCCGTTGATTTGATTTGGGTGTGGTGTTTAGTCCGTGCTGGTATGTACATAGACCAACGACTTGAGGTTTCTAACGAGCAGTATTCCCATAACGCGGGGCAATTCCGGACCTCACTGGAAATGCAAAGCAACCGTTTTGGGGGCAGCGGCGGAGGGAATTCCCAAGGCATTCTCCACAACGACTGAGCTTGCCTTGTTTCCGTCGAGCCAAAAAAAAGCAGAGGGTGACGCTTGTACGATTTTCAAAAACAAAGGTATGTACCTGACTGGGTGCAAAGTGGTGCTGCTGTTTGGCGCAGAGAGCCCGGAAGCCGCGCATGACGGCAGATGAATAAAAGTCGGTCATAATTAGGTGGCCGTTTGATCGACGTCCGCGAATGACGCACGGGTTGCGAGGGCAGTCGCGCAAAAGGGCGACGAAAGACAAACAAACCTGGCCAAGAGGTTAGTGACGATTCCAACGCAGATCGCGCACGTCATGCCCTCCACGTTGATGAGCGCAACTTGCCCCTTGGCAGCCCTCTCCGCCCCTCCTGCGTCCGCTCCTCCTCCTCCTCCTCCTCCTCCTCCCCCTTCGCCATTGTTTCCGGTACCTCCCGCGGGTGCAGCCGCTGCCGCCACCAACTCGCCGCTTCCCATGGACAAGGCCTCCCCGCCGGGCGTGGTGTTATTGATGGATCGCGGCTCTGCTATCGCTGCCGGCACCGAAGGCGTCGCTCCCCCCGTGCTACCCTCCGCCATCGTCATGACGATGTTGGTGAAACAGCAGTACCCTGGCTGAAGCAGGCGGATTACAGGCGCTGGGTGATATGAGGGGATGGGAAAGACGTGCGGGAGGAACAAGTGTATTCACCAGTCTAGACTGATGTAGCAAGGAGGCGCGGTATCCGTCAACAAGACCCGGTAAAGAGGATGTGTGTTTTATGTTTTAGTAGCAATCTACAAGATCGATACAATGATGCAGCAATAGTTTACATAGCACCCACCTTTTTTCGGCAAAGCAAAGAAACGCTTGGCCCCGTTCTCGACTACGAAAGTATCTACTACTGTATGATGAACCCTCGAGGAGGGGAGTTGGCCGAGGAACGTATCTAGACTATCTAGTCTCGCCGTCGGAGCATCTGACTGAGTGTGTATCTTTGATTGGTCTACCACCTGAAACCGCCCAACCGGGTGACCAATAACACATCTCGGTGTGATTGTGCATTCATGCCCATCCCGTCTGTTCTGGCGCCAGTCTACAAGCCTTTCGGTGTAGTACATGTTCGACGAACACATCAGCCGGGTCAGGAGCCAAGCGCTTCTTGTGTCTCGAGATTCAAATTTTCAAACGTGGTGGCAAGCGAAAAGAACACAAATGATGCGTAGAAGAACTTCAAGGTCCGTGTGGCACGCGACAAGATATGCAGCGTTCGATACAGACTACAGAGGACTTCTTCAATATGGCAACATGCACGAAAGCGCATTGTAGGCGTGTGCGACGAATAACGCACAGGAGACAGGAAGAGAGAGTGCGCCTGAGGCCAGGGAAGTGTCGGTGTCGCGATCCAAAGCCCCAGTTGAACTTGTCCCTACCTACACGTAACCCCAGACTGCATACATCAGAACCGATGACACCCCATTCAGTCTTCTACATGGCGCACTCGCGACTGCTCTTCAAGTGCCTGCGCTACAGAAGGCTGAAAACGTTCTCTCTCTCGCCATCTAGCGAAGCATGCTCGAACCAGACCCACGTTTTGAACATTTTAAAAAAGCTAATTGAGCGTCGAAACAACAAATCCGACCACACCGCTTATCCATCGGGGTTACCTCAACTTCCTATCCTATCTACCTTGTTGCAAACTCAGGGTACCAAACCTTCTTTGCGCATTGTCGGGTCCCTTACCTCGCCTCCCTCGCTATCTCGCGCGCTATCTTGGTACCTGACCCTCAGGTGAGACGGCGTGACCACACTCTGTGACGTGGTCTGTGGTGTGGCGAGTGCCTCTCTGTTTAGAGCTTAGAGCCAGAGAGTCAAGTCGGGGCCCCGTGAATCGTGTTGTCGTCCTCGAGGTGTACTGTAAATAGAAGAGAGGAAAAGAACAAGTCATCTGGTGGGGGCACCGCTCATCATCGATTCAACAGCCAGCAATCCTAATGGTCGGACGCTACGTTGGCTGAGCGCCAAAACTTGGGGGTTCGCATATCATGTGTCCGGGCTCTTCCCAATCACGTACAATATCATTCCTTGCGTCAATGTTGCAATGTTGTTCATTAATGCCCGGGAACTACATACACTAGTGCTTCTGTGCCCCGGCAAGAGGCGGTAGAGATGGCACCCCTCTTCGACCGACTTTCGAAGCTCGATTGCTCCACAACCTTCTTCTGTCAGGTAGGTGCCGTAAATGACAACGTGATATCACACCCCCTGGACCGATTTTCAAATCTCAATTTCTCGACAGCAGAAAGAGTCAGCGCGGAAAACGGTGGTGATGAAGCTGTCTTGTCGAGAGCTTGTCGAAAATGTATTGTATGATTCATGCATCCTCTTGTCGTGGCGTAATCGAGCTGTGAAAAATTGTCCAGGGGGTGTGTTATCTTGTGTCATATACGGTAGGTGCCTGCTCATTTCCCTCCGTCTGTCTCGTGCTTGGTAAAAAAGCAAGCCATTTTTTACCTTAAAAAAATTCAATCAACATCCAACGTCAAGCGAATCCGGGGTGTGCCTTCGGAGGCGGTCAGGGCGGCAGGCGAAAGAAGACCTTGTCATGAGAGAGAAAGGGGGAAGGGCATCATCAGCACCAACCAAGAGAAGAAGAGAGGACGCACACTCACGCCAAATATCTAGTTACTTCGCATTTTGACATGAAACTACTAAATAAGACTCAGTATCTACCAGTATACACTGGTGTAGCTCATCACAAAGCGCATATTCTGGAAGGATGAGTAGACTAAAACTGGAAGTTTCAAAACGTGCTACCGAATTTTGATATTTGTCACCGACCTCGCGCTGGCGTAAACCTCAATGGTGCGGTCGATGCAAAAAATAAACACCCAACTAAGAAGCACTGCGGAGAGGGAGGTAGGCCCCGGCCCGGCCCCGCGGGCAAAACACACCGACAAGTAATAAATCGGTGAATGAACGAGAACAACACCTCTGCAGGGTTTTTCGACTGTGTGTTAGTAAATATGTTTGATAACTCGAACGGGTAGTCTTTCTGTGAGATATCTTTACTTTCCAAATAGGAAATAATCGGGGAAGTTGGGATAGGGTTAGGAGGATCTACGTCCTCCCTTCCTGTTCTATTTCCCCAAATATTTGTTAATCTCGCGAAGGCGGTCCGACCAAAAAAAGCAACAACACGTGCACAGGAACGTGACGCACCCACCCATGGCCATCCTACGCTACATAACACGTAACCAAAACATCGAAACCTACCAGATGCACATGCAAAGGACCACCAACAGCACGAACACCAACGGCCAAAACGCCAGTGCAAAGGTACTGTGCCAAAACATTGAAACCTACCAGATGCACATTCAAAGGACCACCAACAGCACGAACACCAACGGCCAAAACGCCAGTCAGTGCAAAGGTACCGTGCCAAACTCTCGAAACCAAGGTAAATCAATCCACTTTTCAACGTGTGCTGGATCATGTAGTGCTCCCACAGTCAACCAAATAGCAACCTAGAAGGGTGCGGCGCTATCTCAACGCTGAGGCAAGGCACGGGGAACTTGGGAGGGAAACGAGCAGAGGAGGCGAAGGTGCCACAACCCGCACGGAGGAAATGCCTCCTTCCACGCCAACAGAGATAGCCACGACACTTTTCACGGAAGCCCGATGCGTACAAAGGGTATGGAAAAGGTTACAATCATAGGACACAAGGCAAGCAAAAGGGTACAAGTGAAATTGGCAAAATACTTGTAAGAACGGAACTTGTACTACCGTATCGAGGCGCTCCTAGTCTCGACAGACAGAGAATAGAAGACAAGACAGAAAGAAGTCTCGTTCCCGCATCGCCAGGGCCGTCGGACTCGCTCGCCGGACAAACGCCAAAAAAAAAAAAATCAAGCACACAATCCACAGGGTTACACATGCGTAAAATCAATACAGGCAACACGTATGACCGCCGACGACACATACATATCCCGCAACCAAAATCTAGGTACCCCCGAGACGCCAGAACGGATGATGAACACTTTTCTTTCTTTCGATCATTTTGTTTTCTTTTTCCGAGTGGTTTGTATCCTATTTTTGTTTTTTGTTTTCTCGCGGCGTCGTATGTGCCGGGTTTTGAGACCACGGGCTCCCCATTTTTTGTGGACTATAGAGCTAATGTGAGAAACAACAACAAAAACAACAACAACTTAGGGCAGGAAGTTGTAGAGTAGCACGCGACGGGGGCTAGCGGATTGCACATGAGGGCTGCTCGCTGTAGGAAACACAACTAGACGCCACAGAAGGACACGGGAGAATCGGGATTCCCTCTGCCCTGCAAACAACGCGCGTTGACTCGCGTCTCTGGCACGAAACGCGCTCCATCATTCAATGTCCAGCGCCTACAACAGCGTTCCCAAAACCAACCCACGTGGTGGCAGGTATCAACAAGGTTGAATTTATTGGTCATCGACAACAGCTCCACAACCAACACGAGGTCTAACAAACATCCCCACATTCACCCCAATGCCGCGTCCTCTCGAGGACGCGCGGTCAATAGTCCAACCTAAGGCATGCCAAGCATGAGTACCTTAGGCCAATCAGATTTCAAAGTGGCAGCGTTGTTGACCAACAGAAAACCTGCATATACTATAATTCGCGTTTCGCGTATGTTCACGGCGGAAGCGGTGAAATCGCGGTCTCGTTCCACCACCCAAGGCTGGCCAGCAGCTTGTAGTCCGTGTCGGCGTATGCCTCTCGCACGGAAGCCAGCAGTTCGGGTGTGTAGTACTGCCCAAAGGAGTCATGGCTCCCAGTGGCGTGGCCCCGGACGGTGGACCTGCCAGCCGTAGGTAAGGGCAGTGCGGTTATTGTAGTGGGTCGGAATGGTAGAAAAAAATGTGGCAGAAGTTAGTTTTGTCAGCAGTTGCAGCAGGTTGTCACTGATAGGAGCAAACGCAGGAATGGTGTTTTATCAGCAGCAGCAGCAGCAGCAGCAGCAGCTTGTCACTGATACATAGTAGTAAAAGCAGCAATGGTACAGGGTCGCCAAGATGAAAATCACGGGTATTTTTACCGTTTTTTTTTCTGTTCAAGTACAACAAAAATTACTCCTGAAAAATATTCGGAGAGGATACAATAATCGGGCTCTTGGGTCATGTTGACACAGAGCCCAGCCGCTGGCGTCGACAGGTGGTGAAAGCCACTGCTGCTCCGACATATTTTCAATCTACAGGTCTTGCTTGGTCTCGTTGCTTCCTATCTCTGATTCGTTGTTTCTTCGTGTGTCCTTTTTTCTTGCGTGTCCACTCTCAGCTATTGCTCCTCTGCTGCTTCAAGAATGACACTGCTTCAAAGCTGCTATTTTCACCAACGATCTGATACTCTGCCAAATACAGCTACACCCCAACCACTTCTTCCTAGTTCTAGCGATGCGGTGCTAGTTGCACTACTCCTACTCCTACGCCAAATGGCAGCTCTGAAGCAGCGTTATACTTGAAGCAGCAGAGGAGCAATAGCTCAGAGTGGACACGCAAGATAAAAGGACACACAAGGAAGCAAACAAGGAATTCAGAGATTGAAATCAATGGGACCAAGCAAGACCTGTAGACTGAAAATACGTCGCAACAGCAGCGTCTTACCACCACAACAAATCCGACAGCGTGTGGTCTGTGGCGGTGTCTAATAGCGTACGCACAAACAGAAGCAAGAGTATTTGCACACGTGGCACCCCGCCCCATTCTGCAAAAGGCACACCAACAAAAGCAGTAGCCTTCGCAGCTTTCTTGTATTCAGCAAACATGTTGGATAAAGAATGCAATCGGGGAAGTCTGCGTACCCCCTCCCTGTTCTTTTTCCTCATATTACTTAATTTCCCGCGAAGGCGGTCCAAAAAAAGAAGCAAACGGATCCTCCTTCCCCCACCTCTGGAAGAACGCCGCTTGCCCCCAACGGCCCCAACCTGAAGCGCCGAACTCTTTCCACAGCCCGGCTCGCTTCAGGAACTCCTCCGAGTGCTCCTGCACGTGCTTGAAGTCTCCCACGAAATCGAAGTACGGGAGGAACTTGTCCAGCCCGAAGAACAACTGAGGATCGGGGGTCGTGGGTGTACCCGCGTAAAGGCATGCCGTGAATTGTCGTTATACCGATGACCTCGCAGCCCTACAATGCCGGGACGGAGCGATATGCCGTTTATTCGCCGGCCCGGGCTACACATACGTTTTCACAAGGGTAAACTAGAAGAAGAGGGTTATACTTCAAAACCAAGGCAGGGGTTCTGTCGGCTTCGATGCCCCTTGGAAAATAGCAGTGGTTCAGAGGTAAAAAGCAGCCTTTATTAGGTTATTTTGCATGAGTTGGAAAGAGGTCTTCCCGCAAGCGTCGCGCCAGAACCGCCTAGGGTACTGCTGTGTTTTGGAGCTGTGGTCCTTGCGATTCGTTGGTTTTGGCCAAGCGTCACAATCGAGATGGGTCGCGGCTCCCTTCTACAAAAACATGTGTTTGTCGACCGCTCTTCACGCTGCAAAACGTTGCACATCGCCACTAGCCTTCATCAATCTTACACATTGTATTGCTCATCTGGTTGTTTTGTTTTTGCTTCTTGTTTTCTCTCGTGAGACACCGCCAATCTCGCCAAAGAGACATCGCCAATCTCGCCAAAGAGGTCAATCAGCACTCTCGCTACACCGTGAAGTGCGTCAACGTTTTCCCACCTGTGATAGTGCCTTTCTCGTTCTTGTCGGCCCCTCTAGGACGGACACACATACACACCCCATCCCCTCCTGCTACAACGCGCGCCGCCGCTGGCGAACGTGTTATCTATTTCCTCCCCCCGCCCTTGCTGGCCGGACGGAACATTCTCAACACGCTCGCGAGACAACACGCGGTATACAACCCCGTTAATATCGTACCACCCGAATTAATACCTCCTAGACCGAGCCCCGAAGCGCGCACCTCAGTGTGGTGCAAATAACCGCACACCAGCCAACTCAGGAGCAATTTTCACCTGGGGTCTCCAATGCGGGTTGCTTCGTCTGGTCAGGCCAAGGTTGCCCCCGGGGTAGTCCTGCTGAAGCCTGCGAACAAGCAAGCCGAGCATAGGCGAGAGCATACCCAGGCATGACAAAAAGTATCAGCGGTCGTTGGTCCCGAAGCCCTTCGCCTCTCTCGCTGCTTGGGAGGACAGTTTGCTGACGACACGAGGGGTGTGGTTTTGAAGGGAGGCGGCATATGCGCCAGGCAGACAACAAAAGAGATACTTGTCCGTCGTGCGTTGCCTCATTCGCCCCTCTGTGCTGGCTGATGTGCTCGCAGGAAGCAGCAGCAGCGGGAGAAGGTATATAAGTAAAAAGAGAGAAATTGGCTAGCGAGGACCCTACCTCGCTAGCGTAGTGTACAAGAGCACACACTCTCGCCGGTGTTTCCGGCATGCAGCACCGAAACCTCAAGCTAACCGCAGCATCGGAATGCCAAATGTCTTGTTGCAAGCAACACTTCAAAACACTCTGAAGAGTGGACCAATCCATCGCGTGAAGAACTTCGCGGGGGTACTCATAGCAGTGCATGTCGTAGTCCTTTGACCGTTGACCTCGCACTTGCGGAAGGAGGACGGGGGGGGATAACTGGCTCTGCCCGGTACGACATGTGACTGAATGAATGTACCTGGCTTTCGCAGTCTTGGAGGTGAGGTCAACAAACTTCTCGAACGAAAGCACCTCTTCGGCTTTGAAGACGTTGACGCTGTACGACCTGCCGTGGAAAAAAAAAAAAATACGTCGTCGTTGTTGTCTACGCTGCTAGGTGTATTGTGGACCATAGCTCAGGTTGAAACTACTGTAGACGTGATCATCTGGCGCCTGTGCTTCCATAGCCAGTTCAGGAAAAAGATCAAACTATAAACAGTGCGTGCAGGGCAGATGACGCTACACCAAATGAGCCAGGGCAAGGAAGAACCGAACACAATCTAGAGCATTCGTTCCTTATACCCTGTTTGGCACGACAAAAATCTTGTCAAAACGAAAGGCATCAAGTACAGCGCCAGGCAGTGTCCGCAAGAGCAGGAATGGTCACTGTTGCGCGGGCGGTTCGCTACTGCTGCTGTGTCGACGCAAATCGCACCATGAAACCAGCGTCGGTGCACATACACAACGAAACAACACACCGAAGCGAACCCGAAAAAAAAAACGGTGAACGACGACGTTGCAACACTCCTACGTTGCCCGAAAACAATAACCGAGTCTTGAAAAATGCCCTACTGCTGTCACCATCCATCACCTTCTGTGAACAACCTCGTCACTCTTGCGTGTCCCTTAACAACAAACACTGTGATTCTCGAAAGATGACTGCTGCCACCACCAATCACCTTCTGTGCACGGCCTTGCCACTCCACGTTTCCCTAAACAACAAACAATGAGCCTTAAAAATTGTCCTACTGCTGTCACCATCAACCACCTCCTGCGCACGACCTCGTCACTCTGCGTGTCCCTAAACAACAATGAGTCTCGAAAAATGTCCTAGTGCTGCCACCACCAATCACCTCCTGTGCACGACCTTGTCCAGGAAGCAGGAGAGCAGCCGCTCCGCGGGGTCCCTCAAGAACACCCCCTTCGTCCACGTGGGGTCGTTGAGGATCGCGGAGGCCCTCCCGGGTGGCATGTTCGGCATCGTGCTCAACTTGTACTTGTCCATGTCCTTGTGATAATGGATCTTGAAATAAAAATAAGTAGGAGGGGGGGAGGGGTGTGTGTTCATAGTCGTGCATGACGTAGTCGTTAGACCATTGACCTCGCATCCCTACAAAGCCGGGACGGAGCACGCCGGATTCTCACCGGACCAGGCTCTCACATCACCAAGCGCGAAGCGCCGTGAGATATTCGGCGAGTCGCATGAAGGGTGCGCTGCATCCTGCTAAGGGTGTTCGGCATCTTGTGCTTACTTCCTTGC